ATATTGGATATGAATCTCCCGCTATAATAAAATATCTAGAACCCTCAACAGGAGATTTGTTCACAGCTCGATTTGCCGATTGTCATTTTGATGAGTCACTTTTTCCAACAATGAGGGGAGAAAATAAGAAGTTGGAAAAGGACATTAGCTGGAAAGAATTATCACTGTCTCATCTTGATCCTCGCACAAAAGAATGTGAACTGGAAGTTCAAAAGATAGTCAATTTACAAAGTTTAGCAAATCAATTACCAGATGCATTTACTGACCCGAAGAGAGTAACAAAATCACATATTCCAGCTGTTAATGCTCCTATTAAAATTGATGTCCCTGATGGACAACCAATTGTGAATGATTCTAAAGCACGTATGAAGCGTGGCAGGCCCATCAGCTCCAAAGATAAAAATCCTCGAAAGAAAAAAGGAGTTAAAAGTATAGATGGCCTAGTCGAGAATAATTTAGAAAAGTTAGCAACTCCAGAAGAGTCATCAGACAACGCTAACATCCCAATTCTCAGTGAAAGTCAGGTACCTGAAATATGTGAAAATGATGAGATCTCAATTAATTATGTTATGAATGGGATACGATGGGACCGAAGTGAAGTCGACGTCGATGATATTTTATCTTATAATGTAGCGCTCGATGTGATAAATGATAATGAGGATCATGAGCCAAAGTCAATTAGTGAATGTAAACAAAGAAAGGATTGGCCAAAATGGAAAAATGCAATTGAGGCAGAATTAAAATCGCTAGAACAGCGAAAAGTTTTTGGACCAGTAGTCCTTACACCTGAAGATGTAAAACCGATTGGATATAAATGGGTTTTTGTGCGAAAGAGAAATGAAAAGGGTGAAATCATAAGATACAAAGCATGACTCGTTGCCCAAGGATTTACGCAAAGACCTGGTATCGATTTTGAAGAAACTTATTCACCAGTAGCGGATACAACTACTTTTCGATACTTGATTAGCCTCGTAGTAAATAAAGGGCTCAATTTACATCTAATGGATGTTGTTACAGCCTATCTGTATGGCTCACTTGATAATGACATTTATATGAGACTCCCTGAAGGGCTGAAATTGCCAGAAGCACACAATTCAAACTCTCGAGAATGATACTCAATTAAGTTAAACAAATCCCTATATGGATTAAAGCAATAAGGGCGAATGTGGTATAACAGGCTTAGTGAGTATCTATTAAGGGAAGGATATAAAAATGATGCAATATGCCCATGTATTTTTATGAAAAGATCAGGAAATGAGTTCGTTATAATCGCTGTGTATGTTGATGATATAAATATTATTGGAACTCCTGAAGAGCTTGAAAAGGTAGTGAATTGCCTAAAGAAAGAATTTGAAATGAAGGATCTAGGAAGAACAAAATTTTGCCTTGGATTACAAATTGAGTATTTGAAAAATGGAATTTTTGTATATCAAGAAACTTATACAAAAAGGATCCTAGAACGTTTTTATATGGATAAATCACATCCATTATGTACTCCAATGGTTGTAAGATCTTTGGAGGTGGATAAGGACCCTTTTAGACCTCGAGAAATCAGGGAAAAAGGTGATGAAGAGCTACTTGGTCCAGAAGTACCATATCTTAGTGCAATTGGAGCACTAATGTATCTTGCTAATCATACACGACCTGATATATCATTTGCAGTCAACTTACTAGCAAGATATAGTTCTTCACCAACACGAAGGCATTGGAATGGAGTTAAACATATCCTTCGTTATCTTAAGGGTACAATGGATATGGGATTATTTTATTCGAATGCATCCAAGACCGATCTTGTTGGCTATGCAGATGCTGGATTTCAGTCTGACCCACATGTTGGTAAATCACAAACTGGCTATGTATTCACATATGGCGGTACAGCCATTTCATGGCGATCTATGAAACAAACTATATCAGCCACATCATCTAACCATACGGAGATTCTAGCAATGCATGAAACAAGTCGAGAATGTGTATGGTTAAGGTTCTTAATACATCACATACGAACTACTTGTGGCTTGTCTTCTGGTAAAATGATCCCAACAATACTGTACGAAGTTAATACTGCATGTATTACCCAACTAAAAGAAGGGTATATCAAAGGAGACAGAACAAAGCATATCTCCCCAAAATTCTTCTTCACTCGTAATCTTCAAAAGGATGGTGAAGTCAATATCTAACAAATTCGTTCCAGTGAAAATTTAGCAGACCTATTCACCAAATCACTTCCAGCCACCATGTTCGAGAGACTTGTTCATGACATTGGACTTCGTAGACTCAGAGATATCAACTGACATTGTCAAGAGGGGGAGTAAATGTATGCTGTACTCTTTTTTCCTTGTCTATGGTTTTTCCCATTGGGTTTTCCTGACAAGGTTTTTAACGAGGCATCACTATGAAATATATATCAATAAATGTTGCACTCTTTTTCTTCTACTAGGTTTTGTCCCACAGGGTTTTCTTAGTAGAAGTTTTTTAACGAGGCACATATTTAGTTATGGATATCCAAGGGGGAGTGTTATGAATATAATATCTTTATGGATGTCCATGTATCTATCATTATCTCCCTTATCTCCCAATATCTTCAGTAACTCCCATTATCCCCATTATCTGCAATTATCTTTTATTATTATATCTGTAGATGCTATCAAAGATGTAAAGCCGTGCCTATAAATAGAGGCCATGTACAATGTATTCAGCACCCTATTGAATAGAAAGAGAAATACTCTCTCTTATTGATATTATTTCTTCTCTATTCTTCTTCTTTATTTATAACACAATTCACTTTGTCTCTAATATTTATATATTTTTTTCTAAAATAGTCTTTTTAATAATGGTAATTCTAGTTAATACACTTAATTAGTAAGGATATTTTAGAAAAGATAACACTTATTTATTATAAATAACTAACTTAAATTTTTTTCTTAATCTCTTCAAATTAGTTAACTAGCTCTTATAATTAGGACCGGAAGTAGTATTTCTTAAGAAAGAAGTCAAAACTCAAAACATTGGGAAGTAAAAAAGCACGAGGAATAACAATAATTTCGACAACGGACACGCACAAAACTACATGTGTGTAAAACTGCTATTTATTTTTAAGTGTGCTTAAATTAGCGGTGACAAAATTGATTTTTATGCCAACTGACTCTTACAAATCAGTCAGTATAATATGATATATGTTTGGATTGATACTTATAAAATGTCAATTAAAAAAATTAAAATATGTTTGGATGATTAATAAAAAAATAAATTCACATATAAAATGACTAAAATGGATATAAATTTTATTGAATAGTAGTATTTTAGATTATATTATTTTAATGTGATAATTATTAAAAAATAATTAAAATTATAATTATAAAATAAAAATATTTGTCAGTGAGAAAATTGTAATAATGATTTTAAATTGGTAAAAAGGATTTAAATTAAATGGTTTTATAAAAAATTAATTTGCAAATACTATGTGTGTATAAAAATTTATTAAGTCTTTATCCCCAATTACATTTTTTATGAAGACTTTTTTTTCCAATTTTCTCTAAATTTATTATTTAATTTTTTTCTTTGGATAATTTTATAAATATATTTCTCTAATCCTATTTATAAGGTACTTTCAGCTAGTTACACATAGATTAAGAAAAACCTTAAACTACATTAACTCTTTATTAAAATATAAGAACTTTTCAAATTTACCCTATTTGATATATACTTTTTTTAAAAAAAATAACTATCTATATTATAATAAATGACGGATAAAATTATATATTCATATAAAAAATTTAACGTAGTGACTTATAAATATGATTCAAAAAAAATTTTCTGCCTTATAAATAGAACCATAGAAGTATATAATTATTGAGTATTTTTGGAGTAATTTTTTTTATTTTTGTTAAAATAAAGCAGGACCCATTTTAAGAAACTCATCTCTCATACCATGGTCATCTTTTTTCTCTCTCTCCACCATGACTTTTTTTTAAAAGCTACAAATTTTGACTTTTGTTTTAATCTAACTTTTTTTTTTAAAAGCCCGTTTGTTCAAAAGTTAATCCAAACAATATTCTAACCTCAAATAAATCACTAACTGAAGTTTCACTTTTCGCGGTACATGTTTTTCTCTTCCAACGGCATTCCAAACACGTCCTACTTTGTTTCTTAAATTCAAAGGATAGATGGAAGGTTAGATTTAATTTTAAATATAAAATCTTAATTTATTTTGTTTATCAAATTTATAATATTTTATTTAAAATATTTTTATTAATTATAAGGGCTAATTCATAGTAATGTATGTGATTAAATGGAATAGTTTAGATAAATTAACACATATTTATTGTAAATAAATAATTTAATTAATTTTTTAATCTTTTAAAATTAGTTAGCTAGTTTTTATATTAGTGAGATGAGGTAGATATGTAGTATTAAATTACTTAAAATAATAAAAGTAGTTCTCATTTACGTTTTTTAAATTGACTTTTATCTGACTTTGCCCGTAGAAATGACATGGGTAATATAAAAATTAAAACATCATCATGCAAAGATCGTTAATTAACCTATGAATTTGCTTTTCGTTGTTTCCTTTCTCCTTCATATGTGGTTTGTCTGTACCGCTGTTTCATTTTGAAGATATAGAGCTTGTTTGAGATAGTATTTAAAAACATCTATAAGTATATTTTATTTAAATTGAAATAAAAATTTTTTTATATACTCACCTTATATTATGTGAAATACAGTTAAAAATTTTTTTATAAACTATTATAAACAGGTTATAGTTGAATTTTAATTGTTAACAAATAAAAAGTTAACTTTTCTCTTCAAAAAAAAAATTTGACCTTTTCCGAACGATAATTAACTAACTTTATAATCCAATCATGATAAGGCGATGGAGTTACGTGCGTGGTTGGATCCTATTTCTGTAAATAAGCTTTAAAGACGAGGCCTTTTTGTGTCCGCCACAACTACCCCGAGAAAGAAAGTTCGCAAAATGACAATTACTGTTCTGTTCTTTCTTTAACGCAGATGCAGCACGCACATACTACAGTGGAGCCCCTTTTTCTGTCGCTCCTTGAAATACTCACAGAAAGCTCTTCTTTTTCTGTCACCCTTTGAAGCTCCCACAAATCTCACTGCCAAGCAATGGCGGAAGACGATGAAGACCAGCCTCAACAAGAGGACCTCTCCAAGCTCACCACCTCTTTCTTAGGCCTAAGCTTCTCTCTCTTTCTTGCATTTCTGCCCAGAAACGCACTTTCTCTTGTCCAAAACCTGCAATCTCGCCTGAGGGAGCTCTCGTTGAAGCTTTTTCAAGCTGAAGAGCAACTGAGAGTAATGAGATCGAGGAGGCAAGAAGATTCCAAGGCCAATGCAAGAGTCGTTGAGATTTTCGCTAGCCACCGCAACGCGTGGCAGGCGGAGGAGAAGCGGTTGCTTCACCAAATCGATTCCGCCACCGAAGAAATCGCGCATTTGAGGACCAAGGTTGTGGAATTCCAGAAATACGAGGCCGAATCGAAGGCTCGCATTGAGGAATTGGAGAGGGAGGTAAGAGAAAGGGACGAGATGCTTAGCTTCATGTCGAGGAGAGGTGGTGGGGAGGACGAAGGGGAGGAATTGGGTGGGTGTCAGACCAGGGACTACAGTGATGACGACCGTAGAGAGTGGTTTCAAAGGGACTCGAAGGAATGCATGCCTGGCACGAATAGCAATGCTGAGGAAGTCGATGTTTTCTATGAACAGAGTCAGAGGTATCTTCAGCTTGAAAATGGGTTTGATTCTGAATTTCTGGCTTCTGCTTCTAAGTTTTGGGCAGAAAGAGCCACACTCTGGCAGGTTTGAGCAATTTTCTCTCTCTCCCTCTCTTTTTGTTTCATTTCCTTCTGAGTTTCTTGCGAAAAGAAAACCTTAAAACTTAATTTGCTACTTTATAGTATAATTTATGGAAATTGGGTTACTTTCTCAGCTGTTGATCGAGGAATCATCCTTTCTTTACTGTTTCTGATGTGGGATTCTGGCTTGTGAGACCCTCCTACCACTTATTCTAGCTTCATGCTTTAGAATAATAATGGCTGGCCCAAGATTCCTTGATCACTTTGAAGTTCAAATTAACCCTGTTAACTTGTAAATGGTTGGGTTGAGAGGGAAATAATCTTCGTGGGCTCGGACAACCATTTTTAATTTGTCTCTTTCTGCCTCTTTCCTGATGCAACTTGTCCTTTGTCTGTTGATGTGTGTATAGGTTAGTATGCATTATATGACCCACTTTCAAATCACCAGGCAACAGGGTGCTAGTCCTTTTCTCTGCTCTCAACGTTATTAACTGGACCATCTTTATCTAGTGATGGATATCATTTTTATTTATTGTCTGGTGGCATGATTTTGCCAGTGCTTAAGTCATTTTTTTCTTTTTTTTTGTTGACTGAATTTGTGGGCAAACTAGAAAAACAAGCCTCTTATCTTCCCTCACCAGTGCAAATATTTCTTCAAGAATAGCTGCATCACCAATAAAACTGATAGCTCAACAGAAGAGATTCGGTGCCTCTACTTGTTTCATTCCTCTCTTTGTTTTCCCCCCTTTTCTGCAGTCCCTGGAACCTTCTTGGGTGGTTCTTGAGGGTAGCTTTTCTGAGAGTCGCCAAGAGATGATCAGCTTCAATTGGATTGCTTAGAGTAGCCTGAAGTTAGTATTAGTCTGCTTCAACTACTTGAAAAATCACAGCTTCGTAGGTCTAAATGACGGCTTTTCCCATCTCTAGTAAAAAGTTAACGCTCAAAAACTCGATTAACTTCACACCGCAGATATGTTTCGGCCAGAAATAAAGGCCATACTCTTTTTGGGTTGTATAAACTACTACTTCTGATCTTCGAATGTTAACCCTTGCAGGATGTGCAGTATGAAACCCATGAATCAACGTATAATATGAAGCATTTTGTGGCAAGGTAAATTGACAGTCTAAATGATGATAACTTTTGAGGCTTTTATTATCAATCTTCCAGTAATTGAAGGGCAAATGATCTTCTTTTACGCAGAAGGGAGTCCCCTTGGAAGGTAGATGGTGATTCAGCTGGAGTCTCAAACAAACTCAAATTACTTGAACAGGAGCTGTTAAATCTTGAGAACATTGGTAAGGGTGATCTATCGAAGGTGCCAACCTTAATGAGGAAGCAGGCTAAGAGATATCAAGCTCTTTCAGAGAAGATTGATGATTTATGCAGAAGAATAGTAAGTTAACTCCAACTTTACGACCAAAAAGTTCCAACTTTGTTGCTTTTGTTTCTATCTTCTTGTCATCTATGAAACTCCTAATCATTCTTCCGTGTTTTCTCTGAAACATTGTACCCTCCAGTTATTATCTTTTATCACTTGGGTTTTTGAACCCTGTGTCTTCTGATGGGTATCAAAAACCACGCAATAAAATTCTTGTCCTTGAGAAGTTTGTGCCTTTGGGGAGGACAGGACAGGAAGACAAAGAATCTCGGTCATGCTCTAACAATAAGCTGTCTGTTATGTCAACCAGCTAATATCACTGATGAATGGTCCCAAAATGGTGTTCACCCAAGTTAATATCAAACTAGACTGTGGGTCCCATGTGTTGCCCTTGTCTAACCTGAGTCACATTGTTCATAGCTTAATGGAGTGTGCCTTCCTGTATGTAATGATATATATATACATATACATATGATTTATGCTCTATGGGCACATATTTACACAAATCTAAGCAGATCTGGATTGAGTCACATTGCCCCAACCGCTCATCTGTTTCTTTTATGTATAGTTAAATTCATGTGACTCTCAACAGTTTCCATCAAAAGGAGGTAAGGATGCTTAGTTTGCTAGTGATCAAGACTCATAACAGAACCGAAACCATGTGCTTGGTGCAAGCATTTATAATATATATTGGACCACAAATCAAATGGGCACCAAATTTGTAAAACTTGACAGATCTTTATCATCCATCCCACTTGCTAGTTTTTCCTTGTCTTGAAGAAAATTCACTTCCAAGTTCATGCTAGGTAGAGGCAACAACCACTTAACATGTGGGCTTTTTTTTCCCCAACTTGCCAATACATTGACATCTCATAACTTACCCTGACATGTGGTCTGTCTCATAGCAGGCAAGCGATCCATGTGAACCGACACTGAGTTCGGAATTTCGAACACAACGGCAAACTGAGTTTTTGTTGGAGGCATTTCGGCTTCAGCAGAGAGCATCTGAAACGGGGCAGAAGCTGATTGAATTACAGAGTGAAGTTGGGAAGAGCTATTACAGGGAGGAGCTGGGGGGAACAAAGAGGTCATTAGACTCCATAAGGAACAACCTGAAAGAGATACAGAGGAATCTGGAGATATGGTTGGCCAGAATCATCGGAGATCTCGAAGGGATTCTGGCAAGGGATGGAGCATCTCGCGTAAGAGAGTATTATGTCTCCAGATATCCTTTTGTTCAGTAGCAGGAATGATCTGTGAGAGAAGAAGGGCCTCTTTTAACCTAACAAATCTGTTAATTTGGTATTCATAATGGAAGGAAGCCATAAAAGTGGTGGTTGAATGTGTTAGCCAAATGAAATTATATATAGCACCTGTGTTTTTTGTGGCATGGCCCTCCATCTTTATCACATTTCTTCTTCAGGCCACCCTTAAATGCTCCTTTCTATTTGCAGATTGAGCCACACACATTACACCAGTAAAAAGAACCAACAGATTGATCACTTCAATGTTCTGATAAATAGGCTAATTTTATGACTATTTTTTTAAAATAAAGGAACTAAATAAATTGATGGCAAAAGAGAGAGTATGAACTAGGAGCAAATTTCGCTGGGTAAGTTACAGCAAGTACCTTTTGTGGTATTGTATGCTCTGAATGTTTGAGTTCTTGTATTGTTATGTCACCATTAATTTCTCTTCTTTCGCAACATCACAAATACAAGAACCATGCTTCATATGATATATTAATTTAATTATGTAATTATATTTTAAAATTGGATGTAAGCTTGGAAGAAGTTTTATTCGCTGGATGCTCTCGTACGTTCGCAGGTGCAAGAAATTAGAGGCCTTGTTTTGTCATGTTTTGTTTTGTTTTTTTTAAATATATTTATATATATAATGAAGTATATTATATTATTATGCACATATTTAAGTTGGAGAGAGAATCTGACGTCCCAATTGTTAACGACCATGCAAAATATGATTGCGCTATGGCTTTACGCAAGGAATTGGTCAAGTTTTTTCTGGCTTTTTTAAATATAAGGCTTATATAATTAATTTCTTATAGTATTAAACTGGTTGGTTGAGTACTTCATTCGGGGGAAAAAATGGTTGGGTGATTTATATATAAAATTGCTTATTTATTTTTATGTTGAATATTTCATTTGGTTTACGTGGAGGAAACGTCGAGAGCTATTCACACTCTTGAGTGTTGCCTGAAACAAAGACAAAGCGACTCATTGACGTTATTTATTTTATTTAATTTGATATTTATATAATTGAATAAAATAAAATAAAAACATAACTTCCTCCGAATAAAATTATCAGCCGACTAGTGCACTATGCCCCCCCCTTTTTTTTTTTCCCTCTCCTACTTCTTTTCTTCCAAATTTCAAGACTTTTTTTTTTTAAAAAAAAAAAGAGGTTAAGATCTAAATTTGCTGAAATTTTTTTTACAAATATTACACATTCAAAAGTTTTTATTAGATGTAAATTTGTCGTAATAATAATTTTAAATCATAATAATATTACTTTTACTGAATATCAGCAGTCAATGTCATCATATTGACGCTAACAAAACTCTTAGTCTAACACTCTTAAATAAAAACTTAGGAGATAAATTTACACATTAAAAAAAAGAAATATATTAAACAATGAACGTTAACATCAGAACCAAAGAGACTATAACGACAGTCTTGCTGAATTCCCCGGGCCGGCTTCCTCTGCTTTATATCTTCAAATCTCATCCCTCTCAATCCAATACCACCGCTCTCTCTCACATCTCATAATCCATGGCCGACGATGGTCCTCCTCTCTTCAGCACCAACGTCTCCGTCGTACTCATCGCCGTGGGCTCCGCCGCCTTCGTCGTCACAATGTACCATCTACTTGCTGTTTGCTTCTGCGGCCACCAACTGACAGACCCTAACTCTGGCCAGCCGACTCCCGCCACCGGAGTAACTCCGCCGGCTTCGAGCATCATCGACGAGAGTTCGTTGGCGGAGCTAATTCCGGCACACAAGTACGAGAAGAAGATCGACGATAATGACTTGGAAGGTGCTCGCGAGGTGACCTGTGCGGTTTGCTTGGGAGATTTCGAGGAAGGCGAAGAGGTGAGAACATTGCCGGAGTGCTCGCACTCTTTTCATGTTCCTTGCATAGATATGTGGCTCTTCTCTCGCCTGAATTGTCCCGTCTGCCGCGCCGATGCCAAGCCGTCTCCGGTGGTTCTGAGCACCGTGTCGGAGTCCGTTCCCGGTGAATCGAATTCGAACGCGAATGACCACCGGATAGATATTGTGCAAAATGCTTTGGTCCACAGTGTCATGTTGCGACGGTGAAATGTTATCGCGTTTCTGCCGTAACGTCCCTTTGCTTTGCTTGCCCCACCCCCACACACACAGATAAATAGCACAAAAACATTTTTTTAAGAAAATAAAAAAACAAATAATATTATTATTAATTTTATGCTACCATTTATTTGAGATGTATAATTTAATATCCATTCACTAAAACTTTACTGTCCATTAACTGAATTCTTGTAATTGGAATGTATTGAAAATGCATGATGGGGATATAACATTTACGTGGGGAGCCCTGCTAGACTGGAAATTGTTTGAATCTGATGCGGGCGTGTTTGGCTGAGCTCGGCCAGGCCTCGGATCTGCTCGGGTGAGAGCTTCTGAATCCTTAGGGGGAGGCCAAAATTCTAAAAGCAATTTCAATTGGATTATTTAATTTGTGTACATTTTCTTAAGAATTTTGATAAAGAAATGATGGTTAGTTACACCATGAAATTAAATAGAAGCAAAAGACGAGGTGGGGGCATGGAGGAGATATTTCATATTTGTGGCCCAGGAAGGCGACAAGTGCGGTTGAATCTATGAATCGATGAAAAAGTTGGGAAGGCGGGTGGCAATGGGTGAACGTTGTTTCAAGCTCAGTAAAAGCCTCCTATATATCTCTATGTTCCCATAAAAATTAATCTCAAATTTAAAATACTTGACAATACTCTGAGTTATATATATATATACTCCTCCGGTCCTTATTATAAGACCCAATTTGACTTTTTATTTGGTCCTAATTATAAGACCCAATCCATTTTGTCTCTTATATTTATGCATTTTTTTTCAAGATAATCCTTCTAATAATGATAGTTTTAGCCAATATACTTAATTAGCAAGGATATTTTAGGAATGACAACACTTATTTATTATAAATAACCAACTTAACTTACTTCCTTAATCTCCTCAAATAAGTCAATTGGGTCTTATAATTAGGACCGGAGGAGTATATATATTAAAAAAAAAGAAGCCTACCATGTGCATATACTCCCCCTTCCTCATTTCATAATTTAAGTAGCTTCTAGAAGAATGACTTGATTCAAAATATAAGTCACTTAGTGAGTAATTAATGCTTATTTGTTAATTTTATTCTTGCAATTAATGCTTCAATATACTCTTCTGGTCCTATTTATAGAGCAAAAAGAATATATTTCTTGGTCTTATTTATAGGGCACTGAGAGAAATTTTTTGCATGGATGTATAATTTTACCCTCATTTATTATTGTGTTGACTTTGTTTATATGAGGTATAATGTATATTAAAAAGGGATAAAGTTGAAAAGTCATTAAATTTTAAATAAGAGTTAATCAAGTTTAAGGTATTTCTTAGTCCGTGTGAAACATGTTAGAAGTGCCTTATAAATAGGATCAGAGGAGTAACTCATTGTGTTTTTCTCTCTCATTCATTACCTCGTTTAATATGGGTAAAGTTAGAAAAAATTTTCAAGTTGGGATAGTTTTAATGAGTTAACTATCCTTTTTTTATATTGATGAATTAGTTAAAGTGACTTGTATGATGAAACTGATGAAGTACTTAGTAGGGTGCTATGGTAAATTGGCAGTTCAATGAAATCCATGTTTGCATAATTAACAGCATAATCTAATTAGCACCACAAGAGTTAATCAGCTCCGCAACAAGGGGACCTAATGATTTAATCACACCAAATGCCAATAAAAGAAGCCCACCCCACATCTCAATATTCACAACTTACTCATCATAATCAAAGTGCCCAACCAATAAACACAACCAAGAGTGACTCATATTTAGTTGTGTATACGAAAATTCAACGCTTAAGAGGATCCCGATGCTTTATTAAATTCGATTAACTTTATTCGATTACTCTAAAGGATTTGATTTTGTTTGTCAGCATATCATCAAGTTGACTTCACACATTGAGGCTTTTGATATGTAGAATCTTATGCCAATTTTAGAAATTGACGCCTGATGAATGGCTTGGAGTTTGACAAATGAGTTAAATCATTTTCAATTAACGAGTGACATAATTTAATAGAAGTTACTCTATATAAATATGCATATGTATCGTTTTCACTTTTCACTAGGGCAAATATTAATTTGATAAAACCTTATCTTAAATTTTACTTAGGTAAAAGGGCTTGTGTGAGGAGAACGCTTAATAAAATTATTAAATGAGACCTTCTAGTTAACAATGTATCTAAAGACTTAGGATCCGTTTGGTTCGATTACATACCAGCCTGACAATGCGATGCAATCAGATGTCATGCGATGCAATGTAATATTTATTACCACAAGTTTGTTTGGTATATTAATTAGGAAAGAAGAGTTTTATATTTAATTAAATAGATATAAAAATACAAGGACCAAAATAGCCCCATCCGGAAAATAAAATCTCTCTCCTCCCTTTTCTCCCAAAGTCGTCCTTTCCTTCCTCTCTGGAAATGGTAACTTCAAATCAGCAAATCAAAACCAACACAAATCAATTACCATGATTTGAAAATAGATTAAACAAAACATAAATCTCACACAAACACACACACACACACAACCCATTTAGAACATTTTCAAAGCGTAGAACAAAAAAAGGCATTCATGGAGCAATGAACCATATCTCTCAACCCACCGTAGATATAGACAAATTGAAAAGCATGGTCCACCCACACATGGGTCTTGTCAAAGATCAAAACAAAATCATCATCAACCTTACACTGACTCTTTGACAGTAAATGGATGCAACATTTAGAACAAATGAAATCACAAATTTGCATTTTGGGATGGGAAGGCCCAAAAAAATTACAAGCAGGGTGACTGTTGCTCTTTGAAAATCATTTACAAAACTCGCGATCATTGTTGAACTCAATAATTTGATTAGTGACAGTAGATTGTTGCTTCTCATAGATCATTCAAGGAAGGGAATGGCAGTTCGATGATGGAACAAGAGTGTCCAATCCAGGTCGGGGGGTTTGATGTTAGTGAGATAGGAGGTGGATTAGAGCAAGAGGTGTCACCAGTAGTGGTGTTGTTAATGATAGAGTGGATTTGGCCGAAAGAGGAAGGAAAGTCGATGAGGATCAAAGAACGTACTAAGGGTATTTTTGACATGAGGTGATGGTACAGGGCGGTAATGAGGATTCATACGGGGAAGTCTATGAAGCCTCATTACCAAATTTTATGCAATCATTATTACCACTGCATCATTAAAAGTCCAACCAAACGCATACCTCATGGTAATGGGATTTGAATTACCACTGGATTACCATTACAGAGCCGTAATGTAATTCAACCAAACAGGCTCTTAGATGTTGATAAAGTACAATAATATCATGCAATCTATATAGCTGACTCCATTTAGTAAGATAAGACGTGTTATTGTTGCTATTACAACAGGGCGGGTGGGCATGTTTAATTCCCATAAGGAAGATATCTCTATGTTACTAATTTTATCTTAACTAACATTTGAAAATTAATAAACATAAAGGTAATAATGCATTATTGATTTGGTTGCTACCATTTGGTAGGGAGCACAAGGAAACAAAACCAATCAAGCAATGACATTTGCAAAATACCATATTAATTGGTAGATCAAGCATCACTTTTTTTCTTGATATTTTAAAATTTTAAGTGTCTGAATTAGAATATTATAAATTTTAGTTTCTTTATGTGTCATTTTCCAATAAACAATGTAATAATTTATCTTATGTTATAAAACTGACTTGGAAAGCAGTAGAAGTATAGAGAAATGAGAATAGACAAGAGAAAGTCTTCCTATATGTTTTTTTAAAAAAAAAAAAACTAGCATTTACTTCTCGGGAGAGAATTTACTTCCTTCTATCATATCTAATATATTTTTATGCAAAACAAATTTTGTATACTTAACTAATTTGATTTAATTTCAATAAAATTTAATTACAATATTACTTATCACCAATGAAGATAATAATAATGCAAATTACAATAATGCTATAATAATTATAACAATGAGGAGAATATGAAATAAAATAATTCAAATTACAATATACAAAATTGCACCTCTTTTAATTAACTTTTCACATTATTTTCACTTAGGTTTATATGACTCAAGATTTTCTATTAAAAGCATATACACTTCTGATTTGAATTGCTTCAAGAAAAATTCAAGAAAACTTGTATCTCCAAGCCGCAAAGGAGTTGAGTAAATGATGACGTGAACCTTCAAGTTTAGTATGCTGAAAATTAACATTCTACGAGGCGGGCAAAATATCCCAAATTGAGAACGTGCGTCCGTGCGTGTGTGTGTGTATTAATAGCATTAGGGATAGATGTCCAGGTCAAAATGTAGTTATTTATCTCGTCCTCAAAATGAAGTTGGAGTTTATTCTCGTCCTTTATTTTCCTCATTGGATCTTTGGGTAGAAATTAAATTATGGTTTTAAAAGTATTTTTACGGTATACAAAATAAATATGTGAAAAAATTTATTTTGTTTTGCGAAAAAGTACTTCTGAAAAATACTTTTAAGTGCTTCTAAACACCCTTTTAATTTGAGTTTTGCCTTCTTCGATCTCATTCTCTGCTTTCCCTTCTTTTTTTTTTCCGCCCTTGCTCATTCATCATATAATTTTGCCAACTAGGATGACTCAATGATGACTAGCTTTGATTTATGGATGATAAAGGATAAAAATACAAGTGATTCAAAAGTTAAGTACAGACAAGTGAGTCAAAAATTTAAGAACTGAACTTTATCAAACCATACTTGAGATTGAGTTTAAAAGACTAAAAAGTTAATTTTTCTAAAAATGTTATCATAATTATGAATTTCACATGACACGTGTTGATTACCTTTGTGATTGTGAATTTTACCTGACATGGATTGATTTACCTTGTCGCCTGTCTTGTGCATTTGTGATTGCTTCTTGCTCATGTCAATCTGTTAAATTTGTGGGATGCAGAAAATGTTGGTTTACGGTATTTTCTCATGGAAGGGCTATGGCAACATAACGAAGGCGAAGTTGCTACTCCTTCATTCTTCAAATTGCCGACGCTTAAAAAATGTTATCATCTATGCATTCTTAGAACTATTCACATGCAAAAACTACCAATGAATGAATCATATTAAACGGTAAAGTCATGTGATTTATTCTCTGTCATAGAAAAATAATAAAAATACGACTTAAGGAGAGTCAGAAAAATAATAAAAATACTACTTAGGAGAGTCAAACATTTAAATTTAAGAGTTAATATAAATTTTGGTCCTTCATATTTGTCTACATTTTGGTTTTAGTTCCTCTAAGTTTTAAACTACAGGTTTTCGTCACTCAAGTTTCTTTTCATTTAAAATATTAGTCCTTATAACCCAATAAAAACTTGGACCATTTTGCCTCTAAAAAAACCAAAACCTATAGTTTGAAATTTGAGGGACTAAAACCAAAATAAGGATAAATTTGAGAGACCAAAAGTTATAAATTACAACTTATTATAACGATGACACATAACATAGGAACACTACCTTGGGAAAGGACTGAGCGTCATCCTAATTGCCAACTCTGTTCTGGCCATGAGAATATCTCCAAACCCTGCTAGGCTCCAACATGAAGGAGGGTTGGGATGTAACCTTTAGAGCGTATTTTTATTCTAGGTAGACGCGGCAAACGTGGTGGACACCCAGACATTACTATTGCAGCGGTGGCTGTTGCAGCTTGGGTCCCTTGTTCGTTTATTTCGATGAATGACTTCTGAAATATGTTGGAAACATATAACCTTCGACAACCAAAAGAACTAAACATTTCTGTCAACTCTCCTTTAGAGAATGGCGATGTTACCCCAAGTTGCCTCAGCACATGGGAAGCCTCCACCTCAGAAGAATTATCAAATTTTGGGGTCATGCAGCCACATACATTCATTAAGGTTTCAGTAACATGGTATCTACGCCCATGTTCAGTATCTACAGGCGGATAAACGAAATGCATCTTGACTTGGCGCTTATCTTGACTTTGCTTTTTATATGTTTGATTGAGGAATTGACAACCATCCTTACCATATTCATTCCTCTTGGCAGTCATGAAGGAAGCCATCTCGACATTTTCAATGTCCTCAAAGCTTTCGAAACGATCTTTGTCCTCATCCCATGCTCCTTTGAAGTAGAGTGCATTTGTAAAGACGAGCTGGACTGAGTTGTTGAGAGACTCCTCACGAATAAGGTTTTTAACCAGGCCATTTGTCTCATTTTCCACCCAGGAATTAATATTTTGCCTCACATCAAGAGCCTGCACAAAATAGCCATTTCATAAGCACTTCAAGAGAACAATAAGTTGTTGCATGTTCTTGATTCCCTTTAATTTCCTTCCTTATCTTAGATATATAAGATTAAAAGAAACATATACTCCAACAGAGGTTAACAAGTGGACACACATGAAATCCTTGTATTTGAACCTAGCTCACAAGCACCTCTCGTGCCACTCCACATTTACAATTTACAACGGTTATAATCATTTAAGAAGAATATAAACGGGCTGCACATATCATGCATCAATCAATATAAGAACTAATGAGATGATTTAGGAGACAAAACAAGGAGAGAAGGAGAGGGGATAATTTGGAGTTGAAACTCAATGAAGTTGATGCAGAGATAGAGAGCATGGCACACAGGAGTCAACCAAAGGGAATAGAACCTGACAATGTTATGACTAATGTAACATTTAAATTTGAGTTAATTAAAGATATTGAGTAAAAAAAAATTACCTTGGTCTGAAAGTCCACTGGGTTCAGAGCGGTTTTATAATCAGAGTTGAGAATCTCTTTAAAAGAGGGCTTGAGAGTAAGGGGTTGATTATGCCACAAGGCATTGGCGCAACGCATACGAGGGCCGACGGCGGGATCACCATCGGCACAGATGACGTCGGAAATTTGGGAGGCTAAGTGATTGAGGCGATCGACAGAATCGGTGTTGAAGAATTTGAGAAGCTGACGGAGGGTGGAACCGCCGGAGCCAGCGGCAAGGAGGCTGAGCACCACTTGGAAGGACAAGGGTGAAACTACCTTGTTTTCGGCTATTTTTCCGTCCATAAGTAGACACTTTCCGAACATCGCCGATTTCTCCAATACGGTGGGATGTTCCGTAGTTTCCCGACCTTCTCCTGTTCTGCTGTTGTAAGAAGCCGTTTGGTTTGCCGAAACTGGGCACAAGGAGAAGGAAAGGACACCACTTTCCAGCCATGGAGTGATGGAGAGCCGGTTCCTGGGATGAAGGAGATTTAGCCGCATTATGGAGAGCAGTTCAAACCCAAATGCTTGTTTTCGAGACTTTTTGCGGTGCTTAGGGCTTGGGAAGGGGCAAAGCTGCGAAAGCAAAAGTCCGGGCGAAAGTAAAACTCCGGTCAAAAAGTTAAGCGAAAATTTTAATTAAATTTATTTAAAATATTAAAATTTAAATCTATATCTAGATAACCTAAACATGTATGATATAAAGTAATCAGGCCAGCCACCTATGCATATCGGCTCCCCTCACAATGTTACTGTTCATATAAACCGGCTTGGAGCATTGATGTGTTAGGAAAGTCTATGCAAAGGTTACGTGTCTAAAGGGTTTCCGGTTGCCTTTTTTATCGCTTTCTCAGTCCCAAGTATTATATAACGGTGAGAGCCTCCTAATTCATTCATAACCGTAATATCTTCTCTCATGTCTCCTTCCTTCCACTGCATTCATCTCCATCCTCTATCTAACCTCTCATGGCTTTTGAGCATGACAGACTCGATGAAGTTGCCCCTTCTGCAGAGAATTGGCAAGTGGTTGTGAAGGTAGACCGCCTGTTCATGAGGTCTGAGTACCATGTAACTGAGAGGGACTTTGGATTCCCCCAAGAGGCTGATCTCTCGATATGATAGTATTGGACGAGGATGTCTGCCACTTTCGTTTATGATTCATGCGTATTGGTTTTTTTATCAGTTTTCTGCACATGTGGATAAGCTTCTCTTTATCCTTTCTATGAGGCATACTAGGATGCTACTTAGGATTGATGGGGATAGGCTGATAAATCATTTCTTTAACGTCCTTCTCAAGGGGAAATGTTTATCATCCAATACATCACCGCGGGTGTTGGTGGTGAGGACATTCATCAGAAGCACCGTACTTCTTCATAGCACATTGGTCCAGAAGCGTAATTTCCTGTGTTCCTGCCTGCTACTTCAAACACTGTTTGTCAACGCTATCAGCAGGGAATCTTCTTCTGGTTGCAAAGTCAGAGGTAAGTGTAGAACATGTTATTCGTCACACCCGCAAACTTCAAACACGTATCATATTTTGCTACATAACTGTGTTATTATTATTTGTTTTTTCACCAGATGTCGATGGTCCGCTAATGAGTATCGAGAAGGGTAAATGGGGAAGGCAGAAGGGGATGGTCACATATCTGTTGACCTTTGTCATAAGAGACACTCAGTGAGCTAATCTCATGTTGACCATCTATTTACTTATATACATGATATGCTTGTGTACTTAACGCTGATGTTGGCTTATTTCAGGAGAGACAGGCTCAGGCGTCCTTTATGGAGACTCAGCTGAAGAGGCTTGGAAGAGTTATCTTCTTCTAAAAAAGATGCATACACTCGTGACTCTGGTCAACTATGCTGAGGTGAATAGGCAGCAAGGTATGGTCATAGTGTAGGATGCATAATTGTTTGGGTTATGCATGTTTATGGCCATCACATATAGGGAATGTTTCTGCCAAGAAATAGGCTTTTGGTTTTCGATTTTTATCCAAAGTCATGTATTCGATGGCCAAGCTTAATGTATTTTTACAATCCATTGACGTCTAATGTAATGGCTATATCAACTACAATCAATGTTTAGGTATTTTAGACCAGTGTGACTGAATATTAACTGTGAAGGTATGATTTACAGCTAAATAGCTAATGCCTTTGCTTGTCTACGGACATTATGAGACCATAGTATTCCTTAAAATAAGTGTAATGCATGCTCAAGAAAGTAAGTGTTTTCTGAAGAACACACGTGTTAATTTTTTAATCAGCATGCAGATAGAAAAGAACATCGACTTCATATACTGAAACAGTTTTTTTTTTGTTATTACCCACTGGTCATCGCCTTTGGTTTTCCACTAGATTCATATGTCCTTTTTTTTTTTTTTTTGCTACGGTTAAATACAGAAGTCAGTAAGCAGCACATATTTTTCTTGTCAATTACGTACCAAATCAGAATATAATTATTATTAAAATTGGCATGCTTTTGATTTGTTAGTGGTTGTTGATATGTAGCTGTCAGTAATTGCAGACCATGGTTTCTGGAACAAGTATTATTATAAGTCTAATTACTTAACATGTTATAATCTCAAATTAAACAGCATATCATGTCCAACCTTGCATGAACATAAACCATGGGATTTTGGTCATCATTATGCAGTTGCTTTCCCACCTGTCTGTCAGTCTCATTGGTCTTTACAGATGCATGTTTTTTCCCACCTAAACTTCTGAAATTGATTGCCAACCCGATATACATGATATGGAAGGCCATCGTGAAGATTTGGGATATGCATTTATCAGTACACAAGCTTCCATTTTTTATGCTGGTGCACCTTTGGTTAGTGTGTTCATCCTTGCGTCGTGCTTCAAGAACTATTTGAGTGTCTTGAAATATGATGCTACCTCACCAACTTGGTCCAAATGGAAGGAATTTGGGTATCTTAAGCATCATGTTCCAGATTTAATATTTAAAGTGATATATATAAGGAAAAATATTATTGGGAGGAGTCTCCGTTACGGTGTCTGACAGTATCTTGAGAGATTAGTCTCTTATTATTTAGGTAGGAAGATTCTGGGAAACTAAAAAAGCAAAATATGATGAACTATCACGACAGCAAAAGCTTTTCCCTTCCCCAGAGTTGTACATGAGTTCCCATGAATCAGAAGTTGATTTACAAGCAGGTATGCTATTGCATTACTGCATATTGCAATTTTTCAATCCAGTCAGCTATGGCTTAGTGCTTTATATGGCTTCATATCTAAATGATGCTGAATGGGTGCTCTCGGAGATCTGAGGATATAATTGCATACGGATTTGCTTCAGAAAATCTTCACAGCAGATTATACTTCCTGCAAGGGAAATTACATAGCATCATGTACAGTAACCTCTTGCCCCCACTAAGCTTATAGGCTCGATTAAACATGCAAGACTCATTGAAAATGGTTTGTTGGCCCATTATTTTTTGGGGGCAGGTTTCTGGTTGTTTCTTTATCCGGCTTGCAATTGCATTGTACGTAGTGGCATTTCCTTCCTTTGTTAAGGGGATTCAACGCTAGTTTCAGATCAAGTCTAATTAAGAGTTTTTAAATATTATTAAAAAAATCAAAATGCTCCCTTCATACTTAAAAAAATTTAAAGTAGGTGTAAGTCTGAAAGATTTAATTAAATTTAAAGCAGGTGTAAGTCTGAGGGATTTAAGTAAAATTTTTTTCTTTATTTTCAGTTTGTTTTGTGTTTTCTTTCTTTTTTTTCTTTAAATATATGTGTGTATTAATTCTTTCCATCCAAAGCAAAGCAACTCATCCATAAATATCTAGAAACACAGTAGCAAGAGATATAAATATTTATAAGGATATTTTAGTCATTTGATTACATTTACAAACTATCAGATTAAGTATCACTTCCTTCTCTAAGATTTTGACTCTTAGATGCCTAAATTAAAATATTATGATTTTTAACTTTTTTTATGTCATTTTTCCTATTTAATGTGTACATTTTGTTAAGAATTTTTATAAAGAAATGATTAGTTACACCATTAAATTAAATAGAAACAAAAGACGAGGCGGGGCATGGAGGAGATACTTGTGGCCAAGGAAGGTGACAAGTGAGGTTTTTTTTTACCAAGTACAAGTGAGTTTTTTTTTGTTTTTTTGATACAACAAGTACAAGTGAGGTTGAAGCTGTGAAAAGGTGAGGAAGATGGGTGGGCAGCTGGTAGTGGGCCCACCACGTTTTAAGTTTAATAAAACCCTTGCATTTGCATATACTGAGTATGATAGTTCAATGAAATCTGTGTGTTGCATAATTAATAACATAATTACTACCTTGATCCTTAACACTATGTCTGATCCTAATTATAAAGCTGATTGATTAATTTGAAGAGATTAAAAAAAATATTAAGTTAGTTATTTGTAATAAATAAGTGTTGTCTTTCTTAAAATATCTTTACTAATCAAGTTTTTTTGGCTAAAACTACTATTATTAGAGGGACTATCTTGAAAAAGAATGTATAAATATGATAGACAAAGTGGATTAGGAGCTTATAATTAGGACCAAAATAAAAGTCAAATGAGATCTTATATTAAGGATCAGAGGTAGTATAAAAACTAGTTTGACATTTAATTTGATCATAAATATAAAATTTCAATCCATTTTATCTTCTATATTTACTTACCATTTTTCAAAGTAGTCCTCATAATAGTTACACGTGTTAAAAGTTTCTATAAAAAGATAATTCTAATACACATTATCTACAAAGATTTTAGAAAAAATAACATCCATTTATTACAAATAAATAACTTTTTTAATTTTTTAAATTAGTCAACTGGTTTTTATATTAAAGATTGAAGGTAATATTTTCAAAGACCACCTCACACAGTGAGATTCTTTTTGAACAATGATGAAGTAGGGGTTGCTTGCCCACTTGCCATCATGAGTCAATAAATTGGGCTTCTTACCCCGCATTTTATCCAGAAATAATAATAATAATAATAATAATAATAATAATAATAATAATAATAATAATAATAATTGTTGTTGTTATTATTATTACTACATAATCTAATTAGTACCACGAGTTAATCAGCACCGACTCAGTAACAAGGGGACCTAATGATTTAATCACGCCAAATGCCGATAAAAGAAGCCCACCCCACATCTCAACATTCACAACTTACTCATCATAATCAAAGTGCCCAACCAATAAACACAACCAAGAGTGACTCATATTTAGTTGTGTACACGAAAATTCAACGTTTAAGAAGATCCCTATGCTTTATTAAATTCGATTAACTATATTCGATTTCTCTAAAAGATTTGATTTTGACTCTAAAGGATTTGATTTTGTTTGTCCGCAAATCATCAAGTTGACTTCATATATTGCGTCTTTTGACATGGAGAATCTTGTGCCAATTTAAGAAATTGACGCTCCTAGATCTGCTTTACATTTAAAAGCATTTGATGTATGGCTTGGTAAATGAGTTAAATCATTTTCAATTAATGAGTGATATAACTTAATAGAAGTTACTCTATATAAATATGCACATGTATCGTTTTCACTTTTCACTAGGACAATATCAATTTGACAAGA